GCATATTCTTTTATACTTCTTTCATCTGGAAGCTCTTTATCTGGCATTCTATCTTGATTGAGAGCCTTGCTGATAAAGTAGCCTTGGTTGTAGGCCTCTGGTTCTCATTAGTTGGAATATTTCTTGCCATTCTCTTCTTGCTTGGAGTGTTTCCACTGAGAAGTCAGTAGCTAACCTTATCAGGGTTCCCTTGTATGTTACTTCTTTTTTCTCCCTTGTTGCCTTTAAGATTCTCTCTTTGTCTTGGAATTTTGGCATTTTAATGCTGTCTTGAAGTGGGCCTCTTTGGGTTCCCCTTGATTGGGACTCTGTGTTTTCTGGATTTGTGTGGCTTTTTCTCTCATCAAATTAGGGACATTTTCTCTTATTACTTTTTCAAATAGGTTTTCTATCCTTTGTTCTTCTTCTTCTCCTTCTAGTATTCCTATTATTCGGATATTATTACCTTTCATATTGTCTTGCATTTCTCTTAATCCCTCTTCATTCTTTTTTTTAAAGATTTTATTTGTTTATCTTTAGAGGGGAAGGGAAGGAGAGAGGGAGAGAAACATCAATGTACAGTTGCCTTTTGTGCATCCCCTGCTGGCAACTGGCCTGCGGGGAACTGGCCTGCAACCCCAGTATGTGCCCTGACTGGGAATCAAACTGCAATTGTCTGGTTCGCAGGTCCATGCTCAGTCCACTGAGCTACACCAGCCAGGGCTCCTCTTCATTCTTTCTCAGCTTCTTTTCATTTTCTTACTCTTTCTGTGAGATGTTTTCTACTTTGTCCTCCAACTCGCTAATCTGATCCTCTGCCTCATCAATTCTGATTTTGAAACTTTCTCCTGTGTTCTTCAATTCAGAAATTGTATTCTTCATTTCCTCTTGGCCCTTGCTGATAGTTTCCATTTCCTTTTTCATGTTGATATAATTCGCAGTGAGATCATTGTAGCTCCCCTGTAGTTTCTGGTAGCTCATTGTGAGCTCTTTGAACTTCGTGATAACCAGTGCTTTGAATTCACTATCTGATAGTTGATTAGCGTCTATTTCATCTAACATTCTTTCTGAAGCTTCTGCTTTTTTTTTCATTTGGGGATTGTTTCTTTGTCTTCCCATTGTTTGTGAGACTCTTCTTGTTAGCCTCAGCTTCTAAAATTGATCTGTTCTGACTCCCTGGGTTTATGTTGTGAAATTCTGTAGTGAACTTCTATAATACCTGTGAATTTCAGTGGTGCAGACTCCTTCAGGTATCTTGATATTCTCTGTTTCCACCTACTCCTTTTTTCATGTGTGTGTAATCAGTTGGAGGGGCAGACAAAATGGTTTATGATAGCAGAAGAGTATTTTACGATATTTACAGTCACAACCGGTAGAGAGGAGATAGGCAATTTTTAGGCTATATATAGTGTGAACCATATTCTTCAACCCAACTTGCCACTTTCACAAAAGGATGGACAAAAGATAAGCCTCTTGTTGGGGAGGGAAGGCCTGTGAGCTGGAACTAGAAAGCAGTGAGGTTTCAGATGGTCAGATTTTGAGGTAAGGTGAGAGCAAGGAATAATAAATAGGTATAGTGTTTAATCAAGTAGAGTTAATTACTCCAGTAATAGAATCCAGGAACTTGTAAAGTGGGCTAAGTTCTGATAGATTCGTTGTGAAGTATTTACAATTATATAGAACAGCTATTATTTACAGGAATATTAGAGCAACAATCATATGACCGACTCTGTGAGATCTGTCTGAATAGGGAGTGTAAACTTCAGGTACTGTGGCAAAGGAAAACAAGAGGCGTGATGTATAGAAAATTAGAAATACATTGTGGAGGAAAGAACAGAGGAAAGCTGTCTAATAATACAATAAAACCAGCCAAGACTAAGAAGCCTATACAGAAGGAGGAATAGAAAGATACTATTAGAATATAAAAGAAGTGAGGATGATGAAAAAATAATACAAGTGTGAAGCAACTTGTGGCTTCTCTGCTATAGCAAAGTGAACTTTGTCTCTCTGTCTCTATTGTTGATATGCCCTCTCCTTGGGTCCCACTCTGGTCTTTTCGCAGTTCCCAGTGGTTTGTGTCTCTTGTGGGTAAAAGAAAACAACCAAGAAACCAAAAAAAAAAAAAAAAACAATACATACACACACAAAAAAAGGCAGGAGAAGGGAGGAGAAAGTGATAAGTTTTGGAAGAAGAGAAGAAGGACTAAAACTGGAAAAAAGAAAGAAGAGGATCAAAGTATTGAAAGATAAAGCAATAGTAAAATTAAAAATCTGTAAGATTACTAAAACAAACAACACAAACCCCAAAACCCCAAACAGACCCCCCCAAAACAAAACAAAAAAACTTCCTTTGTTGGTTTTAAACTGTCCAAACCAGTTTTTCTGGTTGCAGCAGGACCTCTCTGTGGGCTGGGTTGTCAGCGCCCGACAGCCAGGGTACCAGACTGGGATGCTTGTGCCAGCTCACGCACCAGGCTGCCTTGGCCCCGCCCCTTGGTCTCTGGCTCGGTATTTCCTTTCTGCCAGGCTGTGTGGGATGCAAGCCAAGCCATCCTAGAAGAGCACCTCAGTTCACTTTAAAAAAAAAAAAAGCCTCTCCCGACAGCCTGCCTCTCAGCCCAGCCCAATCCCCAGCCAGACCAGTGACAACAATGTGACTCTCGATTCTCCCGGGCTGATGATCACAGAGTCCAAAGATGGGCACGACCCTTTGTTCTTGTTTCTCTCTGTGTAAACTCAGACAGGCCTCTGCCTGGCACTTCCGAGATGGGGAGGGAGAAAGCTGCTTACCCGTGCTGGTCGCCTACCGCCACTGTGTCCGAGCTCCCGTAGATGACTCCTCAGCACCGGGGCTGGGAATGTCTGGGCTCCAGTAGATGGCTCTGGTCCCAGGCCATAATTTCTTTAACTCTGTATTATATAAGCCTTACTCCTGATGCCATGGACATCAAGATTGCTGTTGGTCAGCAATTGTTCATGAATCTCTCATGTTTCTATATATATAGGCATGAACAACCAAGTTGCTTTAGAACTATCTTTTCAGGAATATTAATATAAGCATGGATACAGTGACTGTTTTTAGAGAAAATTTATCTATATTCCTGGATAGTAAAGATTGAAGTGTTCCCTTTTCAGAAAAGATTGGCTTACATTCCAGGATTAAAAACAAGACAAAACAAAACAAAACAAAACTTTCCCCAGAGGGGAGGATAAGCAGTTTTCCTAGGAATCCATATAAGATCAGAGTCTTCTAATCTCAGGATTCCTCTCCTGCAGTGCAGCTCCCACTCTGTGCTCAAGCAATGCCTGGCCTTCACTACATCATCCTATTGGAATTAGAGTTCAGGGAATCTGCAACAAAATGTTCTTACTGCTGTAAATGACAAGCTAAGTACATCTGGGCTTATTGTCTCCTTACTGGCCAAATCCAACCTCAGCTATTGGGCTGCTGCTTAGGAACTGCTGGGTGTTTTGACAGTTGTTCAATGCACATGCAAGTACATTTGTTTTGTCTCCTTGAGGACACTGATAAGTTCCTTAGGGGAAGGGATCAGATCTCTCCTCTTTCTGTTCTTTAGCAACCCCAACATAGAGTAGGCATTCAGCAATATTTTGTTACTCAAGATAAAGACACCCAAATACTCTTTCCTGAGGCATTCTTCCCAGTGGCTCACAAGACTTAGGATTATTTCTAAATGGCTATGATGTCTTCTGCCCAAGTGCCCCTGAGACTCTAGGATTAAGGGCATTCTGGTTTTGTTTTAAAGCAGAGCCAAGTTCCAGCCCACCACTGCCCACCCAGAAAACAGGCCCAGTATGAATGTGGCTGCAGGGTTGAAGGAAAATGGCCCCACCAGCTTTGTGGCCAGAGGGCATTAGACATGCTTTTGGTTCCCCAGATTGGGGGCAGAGTTAGCAAGGAGGAACCTCTCTCCTGAGTGACTGCTGGAGGTAACAGCTTGTATCCACAATAAAAATAAATGTACTTTATGGATCCTTTCCTCCTGGGTTTGCTAGATTTAGCAAATAAATATACAGGGTATTCAGTTCAATTTGAATTTTAGGTAAACAAGAAATACTTTTGTAGTGTAACTATGACCTATGTCCCAAATTTTTCACAAAACATACTAATTTTTTTTGTTGCTATTGTTTATCTGAAATTCAAACTGAAATGGGTGCATTGTATTGTATTAAGCAGGCCTGTTCTCTGCCTTCTGTCCTCCAGAACCCATTCCCCAACTGACCCTCACTTTCAGGGTGTGACTTCTCTAAACCAGCCCCCATAATAATGGTTTTTCTGATTCTTTTTTTCTGCACAGCATCTTTCCTGGGTTGGTCCATGCAGAGCTGGATGTTTAGGACATGCACACAGACTTTCAGAATTTCCTTGACTTTTGTTGACTAGTGTAGACCTTCTGTCATTGTTTGCAGGAAGCAGGACCATGGGCTGGGTGGTAAGCTCACCTCCTGAATTATGTGGAAGCATTTTGATTTATTGGGGTGCTTAATGTCCTATTCACCTGTGTTTTATTCTCAAATCTGTAATTCTCAGAATTGTGTGTAAGTCAGATCTAAAAATCAAGAAATGTCTATCTCCTGTGTATTAATAAAAGTTGAACTAGAACCCAGAAGGAGGCAAAGAGAGGAGAAAATTCAGTTACATTCTAACTGGGTGGTAATCCATGCCCCAACTTTGATTCTTTTATTCTAGTAAATAATTAATATTTATAACATACAAGGAACTGTTAGGCCCGGAATTAGATAAAAGTAGCCAAGAGGAACCCGAGGCAGGCTCCAGACTGTCTCAGCAAAGAAGATAGAAAGTACAGAAAGTACAAAGAGTGCTGAACAAGATAAACCGCCTTGTGCATGACCTTGTCCTTGCAGAAAAGTATCCATTGTTGCAAGCAGAGAACATAGCCATGTGTGTTCTCTCGAGATAGCCAATTGCTAACAGCTACGTCTGCTTCTGTATTTGCTTGCTTGCTCACCCCAATAAAAACCCTAGGCTGTAAGCACCAGGCACGTCTGCAGCCATTTTGGCACTGTGTCTCTGGAGACACCCCGAGAGTTCACCCCCTCGCAGGCAAAACTTTGGCCAATAAAGTTCCATCTTAAACTCCTGAAAGCTTCTGACATTTGTTACTCGTATTGGGGAATGCTACATTTTGGAGGCCCCAGCGAGATCTCCCTCAGAGTTTCGGGTTGGAAGCTGGAGGGACGGCTGGGGCTGGTGAGTACCGCGGTTTTGGTATTGGTATTGGGCTAGCAGCAGAGTACCCCGAGGCGGTAGATGGGACGCCATTGATAAACCTGCCCAGGGGCCCAACAGAGAACGGGACGCCTCTTTGTTGGGTGTTGTTTTGGTTTCTGAATGTGACCGGTCACGATTAGGTATTACCTTCGGGTATTACTTTCGGTTTGCGCAGCGTGCGCAGCGCTTTTGGTTCGCAGCTTCCTCCCGTGTGGCGCGCACAAACGCTCCTGGCGCTGGCTGTGTGTTTGTATTGTTAAGGCTGTGTCTGTGTTGTAAAAGCTCTAATGGCTGTTTGCATTAGTCTTTCTTTTGTGTCTACCCTCATTATTTGTTATTATGATTCTCATTTCTGAGCTCCCAAAGGTCTTACAGGCGGAGAGTCCGGGCGCCATTCTGCACTAGAACGGCTGAGCCATGCAACAAAATGGCACCTGACCAGCCCTCCCCGCCCCCACCCAATAGGCAAAAGTTTGCAGGCAGGCCTCAAAGATGGGCCTGACCGCGCAGGCGACTCTGGACGAGAGCCAGGCGCTTCCCCAGATCGCCCAGGCTGGGGCAGGCCTCGCAGCCGCACCCAGGGCGCTGGGGGCTACAGCTGTGCCTGAGGATCCGCCGGGTTGGGGCCGGTGGGGTTCGCCCCACCTCCTCAGCCTGTGTCTCCGCCTCCCTGCGTGCAGCCAACCGCCCCCCTCCCCTGCGCGGGAGCCACCCTTCCCCTACGACCCGCGTCTAGCAGCCCACTTAGAACTGGTTCGTGGCATCCCGAGGCCTAGGAGGCCGAGCCCGTGCCTGCACTCTCTTCCCTTTCCGGCGCCCTCCTCCTGCCCCCGGCGCGGGGTCAGCGAGTGGGGCGCGGGCTGCGGCTGCTGAGGAGGTGCGAGCCCCAGTCGGGGCTCCCTGCACCAGATCGTGTACTCAGCCCACGGGCCCCTGGTTCCCGCATCCAACACGGCTTCCCGTGGCCTTGGAATGTTCGTGTGGATGAATGTAGAACCTCGCTCTGTCGCTGTGTTCCCCTGGTACTCCTTAGTCCCCTTCCTGGCCCCCAGCCAGCCAGACCCTTCCGTGCAGCCAAGTGAGGCTCAGCAACCTGCCCAGTGGCCTCCAACCGGAGCGCTCTGACCTCCCCCGCCCCAGGCGGTGGGAGGTAGTGGCGCTGTGCGCAGGCGCTCCCGGAGGAGACCCCTGAGTAGGGAGGCCGGAGAAGAGGCAGCCGGGGGCAGCCACTGCCTCCAGTTGCCCTTGGGCTGGAGCGGCGGTGGGCGGAGCGGAGGGAGGCTCCGGGCACACTTCCCTGTTTGATTTATGTCCCCTTTTCCACCAGTAGCCTATATAATTGGAAACACCAGAATCCCCCGTTCTCTGAGTAACCCCAAGGCAGTCTTGGGGGAGGATGGGAGCAGGCTCTGGGTTGCCAGAAAATTTACAGGCGCTAGTGCCCAGAGCTAGCCACTTACCAACTCCCTGTCCTAGTGTAACTCCTCAGTACAGCAGCCCCTGTTAGAATCAAACAATACCCAGTGCCAGTGCGGGCGACACCTGCAACGTCTGCTTAAGGCAGGCATTTTGCGGAACTGCCACTTTTGCCTGTTCAGAAGCCGGAGATGCGCCTTTTCCCTCCTGCTCCAGAGCTTGTCGCTTGCGCCCCAGCCCGCGGCGCCCGCGCGGCTGCGGACCTCCGGTGTCCACACTCCGGCTCCAGGAAGCCGGGTGGAGAGCGGCGGTGGCGATAGCGCGGCTAGACGGGCGGAGCGTGAGCCACCAGCCCGCGCCTTCCCTTCTTTCTGCCCCAGAGCCGGCTGCTAGCGGTGTCCTAAGCGTTCGCACCGCCGGGAGCTGCCTTCGCTGACGCCGGGCACCTGAACACTCCCGAGATGCCAAATCCCAAGCGGGGACGAGCAGGAAGATGGAGCCGGGGCCCTGGCAGCAGCGGGCCCTGGCGGCAGCGCTGGGCACCGTGGGCAGCGGCGGGCTCTGGAGGTGCAGGGGCTGGCGCAGCCAACGTCGCAGCCGCCACGGGGGCTGCAGCCTTGAGCGACGCCAAGAACGAGGGGAAGGAAGACCAGTTCATATGGACAGAAAAGGAGGGGCAAGCTTTCCAGGCCCTTAAGGAAGCCCTTGTAACTGCCCCCGCTCTCGTATTACTAGATTTGAGCAAGCCCTTCCAGTTATTTGTGGCAGAGAGAAGGGGTAGCACTTGGGTACTCAGCCAAGAGTTAGGGCCGTGGAAAAGACCTGTCGCCTACCTCTCCAAGCCAGCTTGCGAGCTCTCACAGCCACCTCAATATTAGTCAAAGAAGCCGGTAAACTGACCCTAGGACAAGACATCCAGGTCATAGGGGAGCACTATATAGAGCAAGTGCTCCGAGCATCACCTGACAAGTGGTTAACCAACGCTCGCCTGACTCAATATCAGGCCCAGTTGTTGAAACTTCCCTCTGTACAGTTGCTGCCCATACCAGATCTCAAGGACCAGGCATATGAGAAGGTCAACCTAACCCCATTTACAAATGGGAGCAGTTTTATCAAGGACGGGCAGCAGTATGCTGGAGCAGCAGTGACCACTGAAAATAAAGTATGGCAAGAGACATTGCCCCCAGGGACCACTGCACAGAAAGCAGGACTCATAGGGTTAACGAAGGCCCTACAAATAGCTGATGGGACAAGCAGCCAACATTTACACAGACAGCTGCTATGCCTTTGCATCAGCCCACATCCATGGCGCAATTTATAAAGAAAGAGGCCTCCTGACCGTAGGGGGCAAAGACATCAAAAACAGAAGTGAAATCTTGGCCCTCCTCAACGCCATCTGGCTCCCCTCCAAGATTGAAATTATCTACTGCAAGGAGAAACCACCCCAATGGGTGGAGGGTAGCTTTGTGGTGCCTCTACACCCACAGGTAGAAGGGGCCTTAGGGGCTTCCGGGTTTCCTGAAACCGGAGTCCTAAGACCTTTGCAGATTGGCAGAACCAGAGTCAGGGTACTGCTATTTTAGGTAAAATAGATGAGCCATGTGAGTGAACCACCTGGAAGACAGAGCATTCATGGGTGTCACCATCTTAAAACTGGCTAAGGCTTCTTTTCAGATTATAAGCTATATGCTGCTGCTGTGTGGACACCGCAGCAGTCAGGTTCTCTGTGTAACTGGTTCTGATAAGAATAGCTCTAGGTTTGAAAGTCATGAACTGAGGTCCAAGAGTGACCACCTGATTTATAGGGTATTTACAACGTCTAAGCTTCAGAAAGGTGCAAAATGTCCCTGCGAATCTAGGGACTTTTAGTAGAAGATACCTGAAATACTAGGGACTTTTGGATGCCGCATACTGAGTTTAAGCATTGAGTTTAAGTACAGCCTTTCCCAGTGTGGGAAAGGAACCAAGATTAAAAGAGAATGATAATTAAATCTAGATGAGTAGAAGTATATGAAAGGATATAAAAGTTTTTTGGATGTTGCTGAAGGTTTGTAGAAAGCTGTGCAGATAGAAAAAGGTATGTAAAAAGGCTATAGAAGGTTTGTGAATATTGCAGAAAATCTGTGGGAAGTTATAAAAATAAATGGAAATGTGAAAGTTTTGGAAAGGAATTATGTGAAATTAGTAATGGAAGGTATAAAGCATGGAGATGCAATCTTAGTAGGTATCAGAAGGAAAAGGATTTTCCATCACACTTTGTATTTTTCTCCCTACCTGATCCCTCCAGAATTTGGCATTCTGAAAGATGAGTGATAATGTAAGGTTTCTTTGCATAAAACCAATAAGACCAGTCTTTAATAGTGGTTTTGTTAACCAAGACTTTGACTGGAATGTCACGCCTGAAGGAGGCATGTATGGGTTCTGGTCATTACCAGAAAGCCCTGAGGAACTGGGATTGACCTGTGAAGCTAGTGAAAGCCCACGAGAAAAGCCTGGTACTTTGGTTGGTTGTGTGGTTCATGCCAGTCTTTCCAGGGAAGGAATGAAGGTTGCTTTCCTGAAAGATGGCTGAAAAGGAACCTGTAAGCACAATGGAGGCTCAAGGATTTGAGTGAAACAACTGGTACAGGCGAGGCCAGATGTGTGGTTCTACTTCTGTGCCCTGAGGGGCGGACTGAGAAGTCAATCTGAAGGTTCCCTGTGTGAGTTCCAGCAAAGCAGACTTAAGGATCACAAGTGATCCAGGCTACTCTTGGTGTGTTTATGCAAACGAACAGCCAAAATTAAAAGCGGGACCCAAAGTAGTCCCTGTAATAACAGTGAAGGTGATCTTAAGGAGAAAAATTGTAGTTCAAAGAAAATCACAATGCTCAATATTGGACATCAGAATGGTGCAGATAACTGTCTTGAAAGTTATTTTCATTAAAAAGTTGAAACCAGGTTTGTGATATCACTAGGGATTTACAACTTAGAGGTGCAAAGGACCTTGCAATGGAATGTCTTCCCAAAAGACAGTCTCACAGGCACAGAGACTGGTTTGAAGATTGTTGTGTTAATTAACCTGTATGTTCTTCTGTTTTCATAGGGCGCGTGCCTACGACCAGCCTATGCCTATGAGTAATTAGTAGCAATATAAGCCTCACTTAAGGTGCCCATCTTTGTCATCGCCCTCCTGAGAATCAACAGTTTGGTTAAGTAGTTAAGTTAATAAAAGGTCAGGGCAGTCTGTGGGCTTCACTTTAGAACTGATTTTCCCTTTCCTGTCTTGATAGCTTGGACAGAAAGGGCTCAGAAATCTGAAAAGAGGGAAATCTTAATGTATTCCCCTCAGCCCAAGTGAAGTATAGTAAGCCACAAGAGTCTTGGATGGGTATAGCAGATAAGCCATTCTTTACTGAAGTATCTGCCTTTGTCAATTAATAGTTATTATTTAATTGTACTTCCAATTTCTTGCTTAATCTGTCACCTCCAGAATACAACCTGACCAGTATGCCGACAGTCCAGTAATGCCAGCCTTTGGATGCCAAGCCTGCGACTTCCTGGTGACAGCCAACTGACCAGGACCCTGTAAGGTCTTTCCCCTTACAGGAAGGACTCCCTCCGTGCTGCACCCCCCCCCTCTGGGCACCCCCTATCCCAAGGGTAGATAGGACAGCATCCATTTCCAGCTGGAAGGAGTTAAAAGAAGATGAGACCTCCGTCCATTTTCCTTTATATGATCATGAAGTCGGTGTATATCTGAAAGGAGGAATATTGATACAGGGTGCATCCAAGGGGGGCCCCAGAAAGGATTTGGGATGGAATCCAAAGTTCGGGTGTCCAAGAAATATTGAGATGTATGCACCCCCCCAGGAGGAGGAAACGAATGGAGCAGGGCCATTGAGAGCTGTTTTGCGTAACAACGGGTTTGCAGCTGACCTCTAGAGTGATTATTTGACATATGGCCTTTGGCTAGTTTAGTGGATGTGTTAAATAGTATAGCCAAGCTTAGAGCAGGGGAAATAAAGTCACTTACCCAGGATATAACTAGGAGCAGAGCCCCTGAGGGGGGAGGCCTGTATAAGAGCTTAAAAAAGATCAGCTCCAGGACATAAGGAGATAACTACTCAGGTGAAAGAGGGAGCCACGTGGCTTAGGGCAAAGTGACCACCCCTGCAGCTTTAGTAGAAGAAGCCCACAGGGCTTTGGGTGCCCCCTTTGGCCGCGTGGCCTAGAAAACAAGAGAAACTTTGACTAGAACTTGATGCAGAAGAACTCTTGCCAGTAGACTGTAAAAGAATGCCACATAACTTTGGATTAACTAGAGATCCTGCCTGATAGAGCTGACAGTGCCAGCAACTTCAAACACAGATGTGTGCTCTTTCTTGATTTACAGTACCCGGAGTTGGGACAGTGTGAGTAGGGAGCAAAGACATGAAAGTATTTTAGGTTGAAAAACTTGGTTTCTGACTGCTCTTTTACAATAATAGCACTGGAATTATAGGTGATAGCAAGGGGGACTTTGTGCAGCACTAAGAGAAGAATGCTGTTTTCATGCCAACCACTTAGGAGCAATAAGAGACAATGACTCCAGCTAGTATGCCTCAATGTTCAGAACCTCCCCCTGGCTGACCACCCTAATCTCAGCCATAGCTGGGCCACAATTAATATTAATATTAGTACTAACAATTGGGCCCATAATACTCAACAAGATCCTCGCCTTCATCAAAGAACGGGTAGAAGTAGTCAAGCTAATGGTCCTGTCCCAGCCATACACCATATTACCTGGGGATGAGACCAAATCAATGGTTTGATTCATAAGCAAGAGAAGTGGGGAATGTTAGGCCCGGAATTAGATAAAAGTAGCCAAGAGGAACCCGAGGCAGGCTCCAGACTGTCTCAGCAAAGAAGATAGAAAGTACAAAGAGTGCTGAACAAGATAAACCACCTTGTGCATGACCTTGTCCTTGCAGAAAAGTATCCATTGTTGCAAGCAGAGAACATAGCCATGTGTGTTCTCTCGGGATAGCCAATTGCTAACAGCTACGTCTGCTTCTGTATTTGCTTGCTTGCTCACCCCAATAAAAACCCTAGGCTGTAAGCACCAGGCACGACTCTCATCTGCAGCCATTTTGGCACCATGTCTCTGGAGACACCCCGAGAGTTCACCCCCGCACAGGTAAAACTTTGAAACTTTGGCCAATAAAGTTCCATCTTAAAATCCTGAAAGCTTCCAACATTTTTTGCTTGCATTGGGGAATGCTACAGAACTCATATAATTTAATAACGAAAAATGCCAAATAATCTGATTTAATAATGGGGAAAATACCTAAGTAGATATTTTTCTAAAAAAGACATACAGATATCCATTAGGTACATAAAAAGATGCTCAACATCACTAATCTCCAAGGAAAAGCTAATCAAAACCAGAACGAGATGTTACCTCAATCTTGTTACAATGGATATTATGAAGAAGACAAAAGATAACAAGTGTTGCTGAGGATGTAGAAAAAAAGGAAACCCTTATATTCTGTCTCTACTGTTACAGCACTATTACTGTGTTGATAACATCTTGCTGTTTTGTTCCAGCTCATTGGTACCATATTCTTGGTGATGAGAATATTTAAGATCTAATTTTCTTGTAGTGAGAATATTTAAGATCTAGACTCTTAGTGAACTTAAAAACATAGTATTATTAGTTATAGACATTAGACTATGTACATTAGATCCCTAAAACTTATTAGTCTCATAACTAACTTTTAACACTTTGACCAACATCTCTCCATTTCTCCTACTCTGTAGGTTTGTGCAAGCACCAATTTACACTCTGTTTCTATGAGTTTCATATTTTAAACTCCACAAGTGAGACCATACAATATTTGTCTTTCTTTGATTATTTTACTTAGCATAATACCCTCAAGTTTAATCCATGTTGTCATAAATAGAAGGACTTTCTTTCTCTTAATGACTGACTTTGATTCTTAACAGGTACTTTTCCTACCAGCCCCCTTGTGGAGGATGTGCAGAGTATATCGTGTATGTGTCTAGGTTGATAAGAAACTAGTGATTTACTTTTCTCTCACCACATAGGCAAGGCTTACATTGGGGGCTTAACTCTGAGCTGCTGGGGAAAGTGGCCGGATAATTCACAGTTACCACAGAGGGCCCTGAAATATGACCCCTGCTCAGACACTGCAGAAAGACTTGCGGGAGAAATGAATGCCTCCCTGGGGATTCAGTAGGTAACTCCCTGTTAGGGCCAGGGACAGAGATTTAAATATGAGTTATCATCCCAACCTGGCAGGGATTTGGAGGATCAGCCACTTATGAACTCACAAAGAAGATTTACACAGTCCCTTCAGCAGAAGCAGGCTGTGGAGACTGCCACTGTGTGACACTCAGTACCAGGACCATTCCACTGGCCTCTGTTAGCCAGCCCTGGTCATGGGTCATGGCTGATGAACTCTGGCATTCTGTTTGCTCAGCCACTTCCCTCGCTCCTCTGCCTCCACTGCTCTCCATCTCCATCTTAAATGACCAAAGAAGTGAGTTCTTTCTACCAACTGGTTGTGGGGAATCCCTGCTAAATTCTCCTCTGCTATTCTTTTTGGACTCTATTCCCTGGTTCTCAATCAGAATGTAACTGCGGCCACTCCCCTCAACTCCTCGCCTGCTTCCTTCCCTTTTGCAGAAGGGATAGCTCTCTTCTTCAGGTGATTTTATCTGCTCCTTTGTTTTCCATGACCTTTTTTTTTTATTAGCATGCTCATCTCTGGATTTGAGAATTTGATGGTCAGCCAAACACCCACAGAAGAATCCTGTGAGGACAGTGATAAAAATCAGAATCCTGATTCCACTCCAGACCTCTTGAATCATAATCTCTGGTTCTGGGAATCAGAAATCAAATTCTCCAGATAATTCTTAAGTACACTAGGGTTTAAGAACTAAAACTCTAGATTTCAGAGTGGAGCCTGGACTGTGCCTCCTTTTCTTGCTGAATTTTAAGCAATCAGTTTCTTCCTTCTTTCAGTGGAGTTTCTCTCTAGTACTGGCAACATTATGCTATCTTTGAGGGTATTTTAAAAAGAGAGGGGAGGGAATTTCAGACAAAAAGGGTGAAGGGTTTGCAGAAACAAGTATAAAGGATACATGGACAATAAGGGGGAGGTGGAAACAGGAAAGAGGTGGGGAGGGTTGGGCTGGCGGGAGTGGGCCTGGGGAGGGAGGAAGGCAAAGAACTCTACTTGAACAACAATTAAAATTAAAATAAAAAGAAGAAGAAGAAAAAAAGGAAGGGCAAATATCTGGGACATTGTAGGGTGCATCTCTCTCCTAGGAGAGAGATGGCCTGAAAACTAACCTGGCTCATGAATATTCATGCTGGCTGTTCTGTCAGTTTAGATCACTCAGATCAATTCAAGGCATTCTCTGTAAGCCTTTGTGAGAGCAGGACACAGGTTCTGAGAAAAGAAAGTAGAAAAGAAAATAGAGGTTAAAATGAATTGACAGGCAATAGGATTAAAACTCTTGCTCAGTACTGATCTTTCGAGTAAGTAACAGTAGACTGAAATTGAAGAATTAAACCATGAAGGCTTCCTTGACAACTGATCTGGTAAGCCCTGAAGTAAATTTCAGGGACACTGTCATCAGGCAGAAGCAGGGGACAGCTAAAATAAGGCACTGGGGTGAAGGGGGGCTGGGGAATGATAACCTGTTTCTTTCTTTGCTATCTTGTAAGAAAGGCTTGGTACTTCTTTTCAGGGCAGCACCATATGCTGAAATTATATTGGGAGCAAATTAGTTGCCAGGGCTTTTATTCATCTCTTGTAACACTTTCTTCCTTACATCCAATTATAACTTTAAAATGGAGGCAAAAATGAAAAGGAGAGGACGATAATGAAACATAATTCAAATGTGGCAGCTGGCAAATTTTTGATAGTTGTACTTTCCTTTGTAGCATTTCATTTCTATTCCCTTATTTTGCATAGTAGCTTTTGGGGAGGAAAAAACCTCAACAATAACAGAACGACTCTGAAGGGTTCAAGGAAACAATATCAAATGCAATTTAATGATATTTTTAATAGGACACAGGGTAGAGATAAAGTAACATTCTCTGTTTTTTCTTATCTTTAACATTGTAAGAAAGCCTAGAAAATTGTATATACATCTATTTAAGTAAAATGATTCTTGATTGCCTTTCTCTTTCTTAAAACCCTAAAAAAGGTTTAAAAATGGGGAGGGTATTTATAGTATAGCACTCAAGGTAAACTATTTTCATACAATATTGGAAAAGATAAACTTTAACTCATGGAGGTAACCCACGTGATAACCTCATTTTTGGGGAGAAAAATCAGAGCTTACCTACAACATATCTCTTGGGCCTGTTTACAGTGTTTTTCTTGACTGTCCATTTTCAGGTTAATACAATGGAAAACTCACCAATTTTTCAGGGAAAATTTTCGGACAAGTACAGTGAAGGTTTAACAATGTACCAGGAGACCCTGTTCTTACTCTTACTGCTATTTATAGCTGAACTTTAATCAGAGAGTAATTCTTTGAAGTTCAGTCCACAGTCCCTCTCCCTTCTATCAGAAGTTCAAGTGGAAGCTTCAACAAGGCTCACCTCTTCCACCTGTTGCACTGAATGGTTTCAGAGTAACTGGGATCAGAGTAACTGATTCACTATTGGATTTGCCAACTCTGCCTGCTTCAAGGCATTCAGCCTGCAGTTTCCTGTGACTTTTTTTTTAGCCTAGTGGAAACATGCCCTTAATTTAGAAAGGGTATTGCTCTGGGCAGGCCATGGACTGTGAACAGGGTCCTTGGTGGGTTGCAATAAAGTGAAGTAGTCAGAGTAGAAGGGTAAGGTACTGGGCTCTGTTCTTCATGTGACTCAATCGCTTGACTCATTCCCTTTGCTGTCTCTCCCTCAGCTTTGTGCTATGCAAGGTTCTTACTTTTGTGGTCATACATTTTATGTGATGTTTGAAACCACTGCTCACTATGCCCTTCTCAGATGTTGGATATTTCTCCTTTCTAATTTGAGAATAGTACCATCAATAGTATCAATTTCCATAGTGCCATCAATACTACCATCATGGTCAATTTCAAGATATGTCACTAGACATGGAGTTGGGAGATGTACTGTAGGATGTCATTGTATAGTAGTTTCACCATACAGATATGATGAGTGGAAATAACCTCTAAAGCACAGAAAATGAAAAAGTAGTGAAATAACTAGAAAGTGATGAGTTTTCAGTATTTTCTTTGTTTTATAACTTATTTAATTGTAAATTTATACAATTTATTTTTAATAATGACTGTGCTTAACATTTGGCTTGCATATTCCTTTAAAGATTTAATAACCTCTTGCATACCACTCTGTTTTGGGGTAGGAAAATAAGGAGAAAAAGTAGAAATGAAAGGGCACATTTAGTACTAAAGTACTAAAAAGCGTCTATGTCATGTAAACTTCATGATTGATCCTTCTGAGCCTTGGGTCCATGGATTCACTGAAATGACAGTTGATAATGGTCAAGAGCCTGGATGTTGGAGATAGACATGCTGGGTTTCAGGCCCAGCTCTATCATTTGCTAGCTGTGTGACCTTAAAAAAGTGTCTAACCTCTCTTAGGTTAAGTTTCTCATGGGTACAATGACATGCTTGCTTCATAACATTCTTATGGGAATCAAATGAGATAATAATATAATCTAAGTAGTTAGCCCACTAGATCACTTAGGAAACCCTCAATAAATGGTATTTCTAAAATGCCCACAGTAGATGTAGAAAGTGATGGGATCTATCTCAGATATGATGAGATCATGCAGAGATCAATTGTTAAAGGCAATCTTTTTTGTACAGCCTGACCTTCATTTCTGCAACAACCTTTATGTAGGGTCTGCTGCAGGGGAAGAAATGTCCTTCTCTCTACATCTCCTGAAAAAAATTGTCCTCACAGATGCCTGAAGTTCAAATACTGGTAACTTACTTCTTGCTGGTAAGTGCTGCTACATCCCTAGGCCTACTTTGAAAATGCAAATCCTTCTTAAAGGATGACCAGTTCCCAGGGCTCTGCACAGGACAGAATCCAGGGAGTCTAAGAGTGAGGAGCCTGGAGTGGGTGATGGGTCACAGAAAAGGGCCTAAGGGCACTGAAGACTCCAAATGCTGTTTTCCACAAGCCCTCCCCCCACCTCCCCCTGCTTCCAGATTGACCAGCTCTTCAAGAT